GAAAGAGCAATGCCCACACCGAAATGCGGCATGACCGCGGCGTGGAGCTTCGTCGTCACATGGAGGACCTCAGTGGCCTGAATATACGGCTGCTCCAGAAGCTCACCATCATCTGAATCCTTACTTCCTATACTTTTGCTCTCTCCGCCTCATCTTGACCACTTCCCACACTTCCATGTTCATTCTCGCTGCGTATCCCACGCTGCTCGCCATCCTCATCGGCACCGCTACCGTATTCCACTTTACTCACACCGGCAACCAATTCACCCATACGCCAGGCAGACGCTGTCGTCCCCAGCGACGCTGTGCCTACTGTACCCGGGTCCTTGTCGCCCGCCAATTCATGCAATCCACCCACATTGACAGCCTCTTCCAGGGCACCCTCGGCCTCGGCATGTCTGAAGCGTCCTATGAGAACGAGCTGGCCCCTGTGCCCGGCCACCCTGAGGCCATTGATGTCGTCGTCGTCAAGGCTCTCCTCATCAAGGCCACCAACTTCCCCCCCGAGATCATCGACATGATCATCGACCACGCCGAGTACTGGCCCTGCTCCGAGACGGTCATGGACTACACCGGCCAGAACAAGGTGCGCATCTCCGCCGGCCACGCGAGCCACACTCTGGAGGACCGGCTGCTGCTGCGGACACCGCCCGTCGGCTTCGCGAGCAGCGCCATCGCCGACGCCGACACGTGGGGCAGACAGCCTGCGCCTGCGCTGCCCCTCGCCCACGAGGCGTCGCCACAGCAGCTGAAGAAGATTGTCAAGACGGCGCCGGCCCTGACGCATCCCGTGCGCAAGGTCGTCTTCAAGCTGCGGAGCTCAGATCAGGGCTGGGGCGGCGAGCGCGAGAACCACGGCACGTTCCACGGCTCATGGACATGGTTCGAGGCCGGCCTGGAGAAGATCGAGGCCGAGGAAGGGGAGCAGCTGGGTGCGTTTCGCACCGACCATCTGAGGCCGCTGTACCCGCGCACGGAGGAGGACCATCGGGAGTGGGGGAACGAGACGCGAAAATATGTCCATCAGTTGAACGCAAACGAGGAGTACAAGATCCAGTGCAACCGTACCTGCACGCGGGGCGTCAGCAATTACGAGATCACGTGGAGGTGGACCGATGCCATTGACCCAGAGTCGACGGCGGCCGATGAGCTGGAGGCGCAGGGCCGCGGTAGGGCCACGGGGAATGGGGAGTTCGTGCGGAATCTGCAGCTGGGCGATGTCATCACGGTATGGGGCAAGTCGAGGTTTCCGGGCTGGGCGAACAACGTCGAGACGGTGGCGGTGGAAGTGTACTGGGCTATCTGAATCAACTGAAAGGGAAGCGGGCGTTCCTAGGAGATCGCATCATGGGACAGTATGCTTAATTATCTTGGGGCCGCGGCGGTCTGTAAATGACGAACACAATGAAATCACGCTCGATGCACTCGCTTTTGTACAGGTCATTTTGGTGACTCGATTCTCGATTCGTCTCCTGGCCGTTTAACTTCATTTGGCTGTTTAACTTTGTCTGGCTAGTTCACTTTGTCTGACTGTTCAGCTTCGTCTGGCACTGGTCAGCCTGCAAATACTGCGAAAACGCCTCGTGGGCTCGAGCAACGACATGGTCGTGTATCGACACTTGTTCCACTTCGCCCAGCTCACAGGCAGCCATCGCTAGTTGACGCCACACGGGCCATCGTCAACAGCCTCAACCTTTCCTCCACCTCCCACCCTCGCAAAAAAACAATGAAGCAAAGGGCCATTAAAGCAGCCTCTCTCGCTTCATTGATTGGGACTCGTCACCCAACATTTTGGCTCGGTCACTTGCACCAGTCGGCACCGCTCACCAAACCCTCGTCTCGCACCATGTCGACCATCACACTTCAAGACCACGGCATTCCCGTCACTCTGCCCGACGGCCTTTCCCAAGAGCAGCTCCTCTCTTTCAAGCCCTTCCATGTAACGTCCCACTAAAGCTTTCTGCTAGATCAAATCTGACAACATCACAGA